TTTGTTCTTACCCTTACAACCAATCTGTGCCCAAGTTCTTTTAGCTTTGCTTCCAAAATATGTCACACATTTATCCACTTCTCTCCATCTCCACAGCTATAACCCTACAGCTATTGTTTAGCACCTAGATAGCAGAGTCCTAGACTGGGAGAGCTGGTAGGGACCTTTTGGTCCTGGCTCAAAAGTCAGAACAGTCTTTCTGATCCACTTACAGTAACCTTCCCGGCCCTCATCTCCCCCATAGCAAACTGTCCTGGGGTTTTTCCTCTAGTATTTATTGCTATCTGATATTATCTTGTTCCTTTGTCATTTTTTGTCTGTATGCCACCTTCAAAATAAATTAGAGCAAGGAACTTTTCTGTGTTGTATACCGTGTATGCCTGTTGTCTGGAACAAGTCAATTCCTCGTACAGAGGATGCTCAAAAATATTTGTTGAATGAACAGCACATATATTGGAAAACAAATATTCATCTGGGATCTTGAGAGAAAACTTTGTGATATGGTAGGTCAGCTTGATTCAGTACCCAGGGGTCCTAGGAGAAGCCAGTGAGGAAAAGACAGACAGTCTTGAGCCTAGTAGGCTGAAGAGTGAGGCTTGGTGCCTCCTGAGAAGGAAACTCATTTCTTTACCCAAAAGAAAATCAAATTTTCATCAGGGTTTATATTTAATCCCAGAGCTCTGATGACAATCAGATGTGTTCTGTTTTAACTGGGGAAGATTAGACAGGGGAGAACTCTGAATATCAAGCCAAAATGGGTTGACACTGAGGGAAGAGAAGGTGAGTAATGCAGAGGCTGCACAGGATTAACAGAAGTATCAAAGACTAATTATCAGTGCTTTTTTAATTGCGATAAGGAGAATAGAGTTAGGGAGCAAGAGGGACACTAGATATCTGGCGAGGAAGAGGGAACTACCAAAAAAGGGAAAGGGAGATGATATATGATCCAATTCAATCAAATTTGGCTTAATTACCTACTATCAGATACTGTCCCTAGTGATGGCAACCCAGAAGGAATGAGATAATAGGAGGGAATGTCTGCTCTTCAGGGGCTTACAGTGTCTAGCAAGGAAGACAGACGAATGAGGACTTCTAATACAGTGTTACTGTTGGTTTGACATGAGATAGGTATCTTTAGGAGTTGCTGGCCAGCCAGTCCATGCTTAGGATTTCACATGGTGGTCCTCAGCTTTACTTTTATAGAGACCTGATCTCAGCACCAGTAGGTACCTGATATCTTAAAAGTACATTGGTACATAAGCCAAAATATCAGTTTAGTAATTTACAGTGAGGAAAGCTGTGTGAATAGCCAAGTTTTAATGAGAAGATTACTTGGTGATCATGGAGAAGAATAAAGGGCAGTAATTGGGTGATGTAAATGTCAAATGACACCAGGCTTTGGTTACCTGATGCTGCTTCTCCTTACCAGCACTGTAATTGCAATGGGAGCGAGCCAGTCACATCTGCTGGTCAGGACACCGTGCCTCCCTTGTGCTTAATGAACATGGCCAGATCTTGCTTGATGACCCCCATTTTCTTACACCTGCATGCTTACTGACTTCTTTAGTTATGTTACCACCATTCAGTAGTAAATTATTCTATCTGCTTCTTTGGGAAACCATCTCTTACCATTGTTGATAAATGTCAGTTATACCCTTAAGTTTTGAAGATACTTAGGTATAATCTGTGGTTAAAATGGAGGCATATACAAGGATAATGGCAACATAGATAAGGAACCATTAAGACCAACAATTAGCTAACAGCTAACCTGTTAGCAAGGATGAGCAACATGAATTGTCATGCACTGAATTTTCTAGGAATGTAAATTGATACAACCACTTTGAAAATAGTTTAACATTACCTAGTAAAGTTGAGTATTACCATACCCTTTCCCCAGTCATTCCATTCCTAGGTTTCAATAACTTGGAGAAACTCTTGCGCATGTATACCAGGAAATAGGTAACAAGATTGTTTATAGCAGAAAAACAGGGGGGAAAAACTACAAGTTCAATCAAGTGTTCATTTATACAATGAAATACTATACAAAAATGAAAGAAGTACAGCTTTAAGCATGAACTCAAAACAATGTTGAGTGAAAAGAGCAAGTCACCAAAAGATATATGCTATAGGAGTCCATTTGTATAAAGTGCAAAAAAAAAAAAGAACAAACCTAAATCTGTTAAGGACATGTACATGTAATGTAAAACTGTAGAGAAAGCAAGAGAATGGTTAATTCAAAATGCAGTCCAGTAGCTACTTCACTGGGAGAAGGAGATGCAACTGGAAAGGGGAACATGTGAGTCCTTGCAATTTTCTCTTTCTGAAGCTGGACAATGCATTCGTGGGTGTTCATTTTATTATTCTATAAGCCATACTATAAACAATCTTTGTGTGACAGAGTTTACTCTGAGATAAAGAGCAATCTATTGGAGGAAGCTATTTAGTCAATTCCAAGGACTGTTGTGTTCCAAACCTATAGAACCTGGGTGACACAACATTGCCTTAGCCTCTAATATCTCAGTCCTGTCATATTGTCCATTATAGTGCCTTACTGGTAGGATGACTATTGAATTTATGGCCTATACTGGAACACTTTTGAGAGTGAAGGGAGAGGATGCTCAAAATTTGAAAATATTATTGACTAAGAGATTGGCTTTATTATATACTGTAAATCTCAAAAATAAGTTCTATCCAACCACATTAAAAACTTTTTTATAATGACTGCCTAAGCATTAAAAAACAGCATACGCTAAATAATTACTCTTGGTATGTGTTCATATACTTTTATCAATTTCTTACCCTAATCTGTCTCAAATACCATGTCATTGGCATTTTTATGAAAGGACTGTTTTTTCCAAATATTCCTAATTTTTATTTTTCCCCCTAAAATTGCCTGCTACTTTCTTTAAAATTGCATTTGATGGTTAATATATTTGAAAGTGTTTATACCTTCTGTTGAATCTTCTCTGCAGAGTGTATTATTTTTTATTTTTTTTTAAAGATTTTATTTATTTGAGAGAGAGAATGAGAGAGAGGGTGAGAGGGAGAAGCAGACTCCCTGCTGAGCAGGGAGCCCGATGCGGGATTCGATCCCGGGACTTCAGGATCATGACCTGAGCCGAAGGCAGTTGCTTAACCAACTGAGCCACCAGGCGCCCCAGAGTGTATTATTTTTAATTGAGAAAATATACTCTGAAGATACTTCGTAAGCTTAATTATCTTAAAGTTGGAAGTATCAAGTGGAGATTTACCAAACTTAGTAAAGACAACAATGATAATAATTTGTTCCAAAAAGAAAAACAAAACAAAACCCTGTGGGGCGCCTGGGTGGCTCAGTCGTTAAGCATCTGCCTTCAGCTCAGATCATGATCCCAGGGTCCTGGGATCGAGCCCCGCGCTGGGCTCCCTTCTCCGCGGGAAGCCTACTTCTCCTTCTCCCACTCCCCCTGCTTGTGTTCCCTCTCTCGATGTGTCTCTCTCTGTCAAATAAATAAATAATATCTTTAAAAAACAAAACAAAACAAACAAAAAAAACCCTGAAAAAATCCAGGGTAATTGCTAAACCAGGTGAGATGCCAAGTGGAGCAGATGGAAGCCAGACCTGTCTCAGGCAGTTACACAAAATGCCTGCAGTTAAACATCTGCATCAGTACAGTTCTGTTAATTTGTTTGTTATTGGACCCAGGTGGCTGCTAGTCAGGTCAGGAGCTGACAGACCCCTGTGGTGAACCTTCCTTTATTCTTAGGAGATGAAAACACGTAAAAGGATCCATAAACTGTTACTGGTTTGAGGAGGAAAATATATTTGTCTAAATATTAAGTTGGAAAAACTTGGGAGAAAGGAGTAGTAAAGATAATCTGTCCAGACTTTGAAGTACTGTGTGTTTTGCAGCCAAGAAAAATTGAGCCAAATCACTAAGTCTAAGGATTATTTCTTGTTCCCATTAGGAACATTTTATGAAACATATGATCCACGTTTATGGCTAGAACTTACAGAAATACTTTATTTTTACTTCACACGTTTTGTGGGATTTATTCGAACTATCTTTTCCTTTGGAACAGTTCTGCTGGACCTGGGAAGAAGCTGCTTGTTGAGCTTTACTTCATTTAGGAAAGATTCACACGGTGAAGAAAGGGCAAAGGTCTTTTCCTATAATGAGACCCTTGTGACCACCCTTGCCAATCAGTGGGTGACATATCCCAGCGTGGTTTGGAGTATTTTATGGAAACATTTTCAAAAAGCTGCATTTTTTCCTTTAAAAACACCTTTCCAAAAAATTTTTTGATGTACCTTTTCAAAACCAATTTTTTTTTCCAGTGGCAACTGGCCACTCCTCACTGGGGGAGTATATTAATATCCACCCTTATTGAATCAGAAAATAATGTTCTACACAATTTACAGTAAAACAAATGTGTCTTAAACATAACGTGCTTAAGCAAAGTACTCTGGGAGCAATAATTTGAAAGTCACTGATGGGAAAAATTTTATTGAGTTGAGTTCTTTCCTCCTAAAACTCAGTTATCAGAAATTCTAAATTCTACCAAATGGCTATTTTATAGATTGAATTTTATATTCTCTCCTCCCCCTATTTTTCCCCGTTGATTTTGTTTTTCATCAACAAAAAATAAAAGGTAAGGACATTGAATGATCCATAGACAAGGGTAGTGTGTGATAGATGGCCAAAGAATATATGACAGCTGGAAATTACATTTCTTTTTTTTTTTTTTTAAGATTTTATTTATTTATTTGACAGAGAGAGACACAGCGGGAGAGGGAGCACAAGCAGGGGGAGTGGGAGAGGGAGAAGCAGGCTTCCCGCAGAGAAGGGAGCCCAATGCGGGGCTTGATCCCAGGACCCTGGGATCATGATCTGAGCCAGATGCTTAACGACTGAGCCACCCAGGCGCCCTATGGAAATTACATTTCACTCAACCTAATAATAGATCTAAGTAGGTGGAGATGACTTAATATTTGAAATGTGTGTTTGTTCTCTCTATAGCTTTAAAAAAAAGTAGAAATCACTCCTGACTGTACTGCATAGCAAAAATTAAGTGACTTCCTATACTGCAAATCATGGCACTACCATTCCGGAAGGACTTAGAAAAGTACAAGGACCTAGATGAAGATGAGCTCCTTGGGAATCTATCAGAAACAGAACTGAAACAACTGGAAACTGTTCTGGATGACCTTGACCCTGAGGTAGGTGGTAATGAAATAACTTCAAACCCTTTGAAATGAAGTAACTTCCTTTGAGCAATTATCTTTCTCATGACTTTTCTCTGGCACTCCCTGCCCCTGCCATTCTCTCTTTATCCAAATGAACTTTTTGCCTCTTCTCAGTTCCCCCACTTCTGCCCCCATGGCTCCACTGACATGCCTGTTCTGAACTGTTTTCACCACACCCTTATTCTCAAATTTCTGAAGTATATCCTGTAAGAAACTTTTTCTCGGGCACCTGGGTGGCTCAGTCAGTTAAGCGTCTGCCTTCAGCTCAGGTCATGATCCCAGGGTCCTGGCATTGAGTTCCGCATCAGGTTCCCTGCCCAGCAGGGAGTCTGCTTCTCCCTCCCCCTGCTCTTGTGCTCTCGCTTGCTCTCTCTCTCTCTCCCTCTCAAATAAATAAAATTTTAAAAAAATTTTTTTCTCTCTGGGCAGGGAGGAGCGTTTTTGGTATAATGAAGCTCTTTGATGTATGCCAACTTCTGTGTCTCTTCAGAGCTTCTGTACTATGATGGCCCTGTGTAGAGTGTCTCTAGAAGGTTCTTTGTGACCTTAAATCTAATTGTTACCTTTCTTAAACATGTTGACCAAATTGAATAAGTTTGTAGTTATTAGTAGACTAGATCTAAGTACTCAGCAATACTGCAATCCATGTGGAGCAGACCTGAATATATGTATAAATGTTTTAATTTGCAGAGTGGGTGTTATTTGTCTTATAAATTACCCAAGGCTAAGGTAGAGCCCCTTGACGCGTGAATTGTTATTCCCTGGTAGGTGGGGGGGAGGGGGGTAGTCACTGAAAGGAGAGAGCCCAAAGGTTATGGCTACTTAACCTGAAGGTGGTAAGGGTTATTTGCTAGGCTTCTTTTTACTGCGTGTTTCTTTATGTTGAGACATTGATTTTTAGTGCTTTTTAAGAATTGAGGTAGAGTTTGTTTTATAAAATTGTTCTTGTTACTACAACACATTTATTTCTTGCTGGAATGTGTTTGAATTTTTATTGAGAATTATACTCCTTTTCTCAGCATTACTTCAGCACTTCAATAATGTGTCTATACCATAGATCAAAACCCTTAACTGTAATTGTTATCACAAGGAAAAGTTTGCGGTGCTCCTGAGTCTGGGGGATAACTCAGGATAACAGTACTGATCATGTCACAGCAATATCTTCTACAGGCAGTTCACCCTATTAGACCTGTTTGAATCAAGTGGTTGTAGAACTGCAGGAACGGAAGAGCTCATCTATCCCAGAGTTTCTTAACCTTGACACTATTGACATTTGTGGCTGGATAGTTCCTTGTTATGGGGGTTATCCTGTGTGTTTAAGTTATTTAGTAGCATCCTGCTCTCACTCACTATGTGCCAATAGCACACCCCCTGTTTAAAAATGGACCTGGGATTTTGTTTTAATTAGCGGTGGTAAGATTACAGACCTGGAGAAAGAGTTTAATACTTATGGTCCCCAAGAGCAGGAAGCACACAGGGCCCCCTGGGAAAGCACATGGGTTGGTCAGGAAGCAGAAGAAGCAAGGAGCAAGTGTGGCCCAGAACCTTTCTTGTGGCTTATGAGGGAAGGAATGGGTGGGACAGGGTTGGCAAGTTTGAGCAAGTTTAGGGTTAGATAATTTGAGTAATTTCAGTGGGCTTTGGGCCATAGGAGTAGTCTCCAGTTGTCCAGTTACCTGGTTCTGGGTGATTTAGGGTGTGTGTGTGGGGGGGTGGAATATTGGCTTGGTGTGAGAGAGATAAAGGAAGTGGTTGGGGTTTGAGCTCTGGATTGGTTGGTTTTCATATGGAAAGCACATTGTTGGGTGGGGGTAGGGAGAGTTGTTTGCTGTCCCAGGAATTAGCTAGCCCCCTGGAGAGGTAGTTCTTTCTAACATTAGCAAGGCCCCCAGATGGCAAAGCATCATGAAATACAAAAAATAAAAAACATGATTAATACTTCCTCTCCTTAGTTCTGACAACAAAAAATGTTTCCAGACATTGCCAGTTGTCCCCTATGGGAGCACCTCGTTTGAGAAACATTGAGCTAACACTTGCCCTCTGTTTTACAGATAGAAAACAAAAGTTAGGTGACTTGCCTCAATTACTACAATTAGGGAAAGAACTGAGACCGGATCCCTCACTGCCTCATTGCTCCCTGGCAAAGGCTAATGGTCTTTCTGTTCCCAACTGCAGTGATGCCCCTATTAACGCACGCACTATGCTATACGTGTAAAAGCTGATGGTTTCTATTTTTCTCGTTTGCAAAACCATGGTCTGCTTCTTGTATGGGGAGGCTTGAGTTCTAACTTCTGGATATATTTTGCCAGCTCCCCAACCTCAGATACTGTTAGTTGAGACTGGAAGAACAGTGATGTTTATTGACAGCATGCCACTTGTTGGGTAAAATTTCAGGGAAGAGTGCCAGTGAAAGATGAGGTGAGAAAAGAGAGCAAGGGTAGTAGCAGCTACTTCAGGCAGAGAAACAACTCTGTAACTTACAAAGTCTCAGAAGATAAGAGCAGATGGTTGTATATAGTTCCTTGTTATATTTTGGAGGGCTATTTTACTTTCCTTATGCTGCATTCAGTATATTTACTTGCCAACTTAACTACTTTTCTCAGAACACCCATCTCTAAAGACAGCCAGCCAGCCAGCCAAGGCAAAAGCTATTTTCATTTCCAAGGCTTGGAATATATCATTACAACAAAATTCTATGAAGGAGAAACATACACTTTTTAGTGGCAATCATTTTAATGAGATTTTACCTTTTTCTTAAGTAATTATGATCTATTAACTTGACTAAAGTATACTTCTGATAAAGCGTGGTTGATGGGTTTATAGCCTCCAAAGCCAGTTTCCTCTCATTTATTTTGTGTTCAGAAACTATATTTAAGGAGCCAGGATTCCAGCTGACATCACTTAAAACTTACATGTTTCGGGGTGCCTGAGTGGCTCAGTTGGTTAAGCGTCTGCCTTTGGCTCAGGTCATGATCCCAGGGTCCTGGGATTGAGCCCCACATCGGGCTCCCTGCTCAGCAGGGAGCCTGCTTCTCCCTCTCCCACTCCCCCTGCTTGTGTTCCCTCTCTCGCTGTCTCTTTCTCTGTCAAATAAATAAATAAAATCTTAAAAAAAAAAAAAAAAACTTACATGTTTCACATGGGCTTGAGCATGCATGGGAATAGTGCAACTCCATCACTACCACCATGTAAGAGCAGTATGCATAATTGATGGTGATGGAAAGTAACTTTTATTAATTTGCCTTAATGAGCATTTTTCTTTAAAAGTATTTTCAGGGGTGCCTGGGTGGCTCAGTTGGTTGAGCACCTGCCTTTGGCTCGGGTCATGATCTTGGGGTCCTGGGATCGAGCCCTGCATCAGGCTTCCTGTTCAGTGGGGAGTCTGCTTCTCCCTCTCCCTCTGCCCCTCCCCCCGTTTGTGCTCTCTTTCTTTCTCTCAAATAAAATCTTTAAAAAAATAAAAGTATTCTCAAATCTTTATTCAGTAAATATTTGGAGAGCAACCAATAGATTCTGGTGCTATGCTGGGCTTAGGAATACAAGAGTAAGCAAAACAAATGTGGTTTTTGCCCTCATGGTGCAGGCTGGTAGGAGTGGGGAGAGGTAGGCATTAATCAAATAATCATGCCATATTAATATAAAAGCATATAATGGGAGGTCAGGAAAAGCTTCCCTTGGGGGAATGGAGTTGCAGTCTTAAAAATGAGTAGTAAGGGGCACGTAGGTGGTTCATTTGGTTAAGCATCTGCCTTTGGCTCAGGTCATGATCCCGTGGTCCTGGGACTGAGCTTTGCGTCAGGCACCCTGCTCAGCGGGGAGTCTGCTTGTCCCTCTCCTCTTACCTTCCTGCTGGTGCTCTTGCTCTCTCAAATGAATAAATAAAAAATCTTTTTAAAAAATGGTGGACAGAGCATTCTAGAGAAGGCTTCTGGTAGAAAGAAGGTGTGACAAGCACAGGGAGGAACAAGGGCTAGTGTGGCTAGAATGGGGAAGGTGTATGAGGTGAGGCTAGAGTAACAGATCGTGGAGTGGGAGTGAGGGATGAGGAGTATCCGACAGCTGATCTGGGGAGACCAGTTGAAAGCTCAGGAAATATTCCATGCCAGCCTGATCATAGCTTGGACCAACGTAATGGGTGTTAGAGATAGAGGGAAGTAAACAGATGAATGAGTTTTTTAGGAAGTAAAAATGGGTAGAACTTGATGGTTCATTGGGAGTGGATTTTTCATGTGTAGCTCTCTATTTCAAAGTTGGTAGGTAGAAATCTTGTTTCTTTATTATGTTCCCATACACAGTTTTGTGTTACAAAAACATTTTTAGTGCAGGGAGAGAGGGAACACAAGCAGGGGGAGTGGGGGAGGGAGAAGCAGGCTTCCCGCGGAGCAGGGAGCCCGACGACTTGGGGCTTGATCCCAGGACCCTGGGATCATGACCTGAGCCGAAGGCAGACGCTTAACGACTGAGCCACCCAGGCGCCCCATGAAGTGCTATATTTTCTAGTTATAAAATGTACATTCCCTATTATTATCTATATAAGATCTCCCTTTATAATGAAAATTGTAACATCCATGAGAATCAGCATTATTGCCAACTTGGGGATGTGTTGCAAAAGACTGGCCCTTTTGTGTGACTTCTTAGGCTGCCTTCCATTTCCAAAGCAAAGGAATATCTAGGAATAGTGAGACAAAGCAGTACCACCACTTTGCCTTTCAGTGAGCAAAAAGATGGAGCTCATGTGTTCTAGTCACTGCTTGTTATTCCTGGACTTAGTAAAAATTCAGAAAATTCTCTTGTGAGAGAAAACTCTAATCCATTGCCTTCCCTCCTTCCCCACCCTCAGTCCCTCCAGGCACTCAGAAAGACTGTACCCACAGGGAAACCCAGGGATATAGCTCTTGCTATGAGTACCCCGGCGGGCCTCGGTGCATGAGTAGCAGTGACAGTGGTTGCTGCAAATACATCCTAGTACTGATGTATGCATAAATGCATAAAGAAGTTGAACCTTTCACAGTGTGTTTAAACACAAACAAGTGAACATTAATGCCCTGATATCTTACTGTACAGCATACATGTTTTTGTATGAAAAAGTCTTTACCCTGAAATAGAAATCATTATGAAGGAATACAATGTATATATCATTTAAAATTCTTTTGTAGTAGGATTATTTTCTTTATATGCATATATGCTGAGCAGTTATTAATCATTAAACGTTTTATTACCACCCAGGACATTTAAAAAGTAAAGGGTGTTTCCTTCTAGTAGAATACTTTCTGAAGAAAATGTGTATGTGCTTATTTTAATAATGTGATTGAATTCTACCCAATAAAGAAAAACTTTGTGTGGAACACTTTTGCATTGCTGCCCTAAAATCCTCTAATGAAGTGTTTAATGTCTGTATCACATTCTGGTCTATAATTTTTCTTAAATCTGTGGAAGCATATAGTGTTGGCATTCTTGCGATCATAATGGCTGATTCATTCTCTTTGGCAGAATGCCCTTCTGCCTGCAGGGTTCCGGCAGAAGAACCAGACGTCAAAGTCCGCCACAGGGCCATTTGATAGAGAGCACCTCCTTTCATACCTGGAGAAGGAGGCACTGGAGCATAAGGACAGGGAAGACTTTGTGCCCTACACTGGAGAAAAGAAAGGTAAACACAGAACTTTGAAGTTAGTATTTGATAGCACTTGATTTTTCTTTTTATAGGTAGGGGAGGTCTGGAGAAAAAGTATTTTTAGAGATGCATGATTAGTAGCCTTAAAGATGGAACCCTGTTGACTTAAAAGCTTGTTAGGTAATTTGGCACTTCATTTGCATTTTTCATCTTCTTGGCCAATAAGTTCCTTTTTAATGATTTGTAAGTGAGGTTTTATAATACAGTGATTTTATGTAACACTCTAGTTCTCTACTGTAACAAATTTTAAAGTGTGTTGAGGTAAAATTTTAAATTCACTAGTATATTTCAGAATGCAAATGTTGACAAAGCACTGCTGTGTTCTAACTCCTCTCTTTAAGGAGAAATGCCATAACACAATTCAGGCCAAATTTTCAAAGACCCTTTTTAAAGGATATCATACAGGGGCACCTAGGTGGCTCAGATGGTTAGGTGTCTGCCTTCGGCTCAGGTCATGATCCCAGGGTCCTGGGATCAAGCCCTGCATTGGGCTCCCTGCTCGGCGGGAAGCCTGCTTCTCCCTCTCCCTCTGCTCCTCCCCCTGCTTATACTCTCTGACTCTCTCTGTCGAATAAATAAATAAAATCTTTAAAAAAATAAATAAATAAAGGATATCATACAGCCTTCCTTAGTAATTCATAGCTATAATCGTCAATGCTTCATAACCATTATTTTCCAGAAAGTTTTCTAGTCCAGGTCCCTCCCACTGCAGAGTGGGACCTCAGGTAAATTGAGTGGAGACTGCGTACAGCTATATATCTTAAAGTTCTCTATATAACCAATGTGAGGTAGGTTAAGTTTCTCAGCTTTCAGTCCAGGTCAGCCTGAGAAGCCACAGTGTACTTGCGCTCTTGCTGAGGGTATAGAACCGTGGGGGATGGTGGCATCAATTGCAAGATCTGAAGATGAGCTCTTCCAGGCACTTAGTAATCCAGACAGGAAGAACGGTGAGAGCATAGTGCTTTCTCCGAGTTAGGCTTTAGCTTTTTACTTAGGAAGGAAACCCTTCTCAAGAATTTGGCCATGGCTCCATCACGTGGCTACCCCTTAGTGGCAAGGGAGGCTGGAAAATTCATTTTAGCATTCTAGCCTCTGTAATAGCAGAAGGCTAGCAGATGACTTTTGAGTAGGTAATTCATGAGGTCTACATTAAGCCTTTTAAAAAATTATCTGTCATCCCCAACTCCTCTGCTCTTTCACTAGACCCCACGTTCCCCTTATCTCTAGTTCAGCATCACTACCATAGTTACTTGTATTAGAGGTCCCTAGAGAAACAAACAGAACCAAAAGGCGTGTGTGTTGAGGAGAGGGTGAGATTTATTGTAAGGAATTGGCTCATGTGATTATGGAGGCTTATTAAGTCCAAAATCTGTAGGATGGGCCAGCAGGCTGGGGAACTAGAGAGGAGTTGCAGTTCAAGTCCAAAGGTAGTCTGCCAGCAGAATTCCTTCTTACTCAGAGGAGATCAGTCTTTATTCTGTTAAGGCCTTCAGCTGATTGGATGAGGCCCACCACATATGGCTTTACTCAAAGTCCACTGATTTAAATGTCAGTCTCATCTAAAAAACACCTTCCCAGAAACACCCAGAATAATATTTGACCAATTATCTGGGCACGATGCCCAGCCAAATTGGCTCATAAAGTTAACCATGATACTACTGTTCAAGATGGGAATGTCTTGTCCCTCAGATGTTTAGGGCCAGAAAAAGGATTGAAAACCAGTGCATAGTTTTGACGTGTGGGGAATCACATAGTTGAGCAAAAGCATCAGTTCCTTTGTGTTTCTCATAGAAACAACTACTGGTTATGTTTTCATCTGAACAGCCATACCTGTGTTGTTACACAGTGTTTATAGCTTCAGTCCTATTTATATAGGAAAACATAATTTTATGAGAATAAATATTGATCACCTTTAACTATTGTGTGTGTTTCAAGTAAACTCAAGAGGTAATAGGAAGAAGAATGGAGGTAGAAGCAGAGGGAGAGGTGTGAGAAAAAGAGATGGCAGAAAAAAATGTGGAATTTGAGGACAAGAAGAGAAAATAAGAGATGTGAAAGAGCCGAGATTGTCCTGAGCTGACCCACGAAGCTTCCCAGTATGCTCGTTTCATAATCTCCAGTTGCCTAGGGAAAGATCTTGGTGGATTAGAGGAAGTAGGAAAGAAGGTAGAGAAGAATTGTGGAAAACAAGAAAATATCAGAGGGGAGAAATTATAGGGGCGAGGAATATGAGGGACAAGGGAAAAAAAAAACACTATCTTCAATTGGAGTATAATAACTTTTGTTTCCTTTTTAAATTTTATCTTATTTCTTAGACTTTGGATGGGTATGAAATAAATATTTGAGTTAAGCAGGTAATTTTGCATTCATAATCAGTGGGTTTTTTTTTTTTTTAAGATTTTATTTTTGAGACAGAGCGCGCCTGTGCACACTCCTGTGTGTGTGCTCGCACATGTCGGGGGAGAGGGAGAATTTCAAGCAGACTCCCCACTCGCTCAGAATCCGAGGCAGGGCTTGATCTCATGACCCTGAGATCATGACCTGAGCCAAAATCAAGAGTCAGACACCTAAGCAGCTGAGCCACCCAGGCGCCCCTTAGTGGTTTTCTTTTTATAATACATTCAGTATTTCGGGGGCACCTGGGTGGCTCATTCTGTTAAACGTCTGACTTCGGCTCATGTCATGATCTCAGGATCCTGGGATTGAGTCCTGTGTTGTTGGGCTCTGTGTGCAGCAGGGAGTCTGCTTGTCCCTCTATCCCTACCTCCGCTCATGCTTGCTTGCTCTCTCTCTCTGTTTCTAATAAATAAAATCTTAAAAAAAAATACATTCAGTATTTTTACCATTTCTTCTAGCTATGTATGTTTGTTAAATACTATTTATCGGCAACTATAATGTAGTGACTAAGACTATGGCATTTTTAAAAATAATGGACTTTTTATTGAAGCATAACATGCTTATAGAAAATGCACAAATCAGAAGGATACAGCTCAGTGGACTACATAGTGAGTACAGCCATGTAGTCACTACCGGCTTCTTCCTACTCACTTTTCCCTTCTCAGAGGTAACCACCATCCTAACCTCTAATACAGTAAATTAGTTCTGCCTATTTTGAAATTTCTGTAAAAGGAATCATACAGTCTGAGTATCTTTTGCCTGCTATCAGCCGTACATCTGATGGAAGCAAATAACTACCTCCCTAGATGGGGTGGGTCAAGCCATAAAAGCCATGTTACAGTGCCTGAGACCCAAAGAGGCACAAATTCATCTTCAACAGTTGGGAAACTTTGGTTGTAGAGCTCTACTTTGAAATAGAGCTAAAAGCCAGCTCTCGTCTTCTCAAATCCATCCTAGGCTCTCAGCCTTAAATCAGTTAGCTTTGTTTATCCTTTGTCACTAATATGCCTTCCTTTCTTTGGGTTTCATCCTCAAGATCTTGATCACATTCTGGAAGATCCTGAGAATAATTCACCCACAGCTTATTAGCATACCTCCCAGTTGAGCTAACTGTGAATCCCCTCCTTAGCTCTGAAAATCCGAAAGCTTGTTTTTTTTTTTTTTTTAAATGCCACTCCTATGGCTTTTTTACCCTGAACACCTGCATTGAGCCCCAAATTTCTTAACTTATTACATAGGAGATAGACTTTCAGATTGAGGATGCCTTCTAGGCAGTAGAGGGTTCTCCTAGTTCTTTGTAAAAAAAAAAAAGTTTGCAAACCTGTTAAAAAACAAAAGTATCTACTTTTTTGGTATGCTTGGACTAGTTAGAACATATAAAATGTGCCATTAGTTTCTAAACTTTTTTTTGTCACACTAGGATGACATGTTGCAGAGTTGAGTACCACTGACAGCATTAGCTCTCTGTGCCAGGGCATGTTATAGCAGTGTCACTTCAGGTTGTATGCCAAAATCACATGGTGATCTCACATTGTAAATTTTTGTCAAAGATTGAACAGATAACTACTCAGTTTTTTGTGTTTTCTTTTTTAAGTAGGCTACACACCCAGCACAGAGCCCAACGTGGGGCTTGAACTCATGACTCTGAGATCAAGACCTGAGCTGACATCAAGAGTCGGACACTTAACCAACTGAGCCACCCAGGCGCCCCATCAATTTTTTTTTTTTAAGCCAGAAATTGGGAACCACTAAAACAATTATCCAGTCATTAAAGTTGACTACTTTCTCATATTCTGAGACTAATTAAATGATTAATTATACTTGTTCACTTAAAGACACACCCTCTTTGTGGAGCTAAAATTACACAGGATTGGTATGACAGAAGGGAATCCACATAAAACTGAAAATCGGGACATTTTGGGATTTTTCTCTTTTGACCATGAACAAGAACTATATACTCATGCCAAATTTTGTCTTCCTAGATCATCTCAAAATGTTTTAAAAAGACATAACAGACTAAAAAGGACGCTTGAGAGTTGTTATATATAGATAAATTAGTAATTTCATTTTGTGATTTGTGAAATGATTATGATGGTATATTTTACAGAATTGAAAGTGTATGTCAACATCTGAGAAGGAAGAATTAATCCTAATTAAGTGAAATTCAAGGCATTATGTCTTAGGTCCATTTTGGGAACATTTTGTCCAACACTAGTAAATGTACTGCTTTTAATACTGTAGTTTTATTGGGCGCCTGGGTGGCTCAGTTGGTTAAGCGACTGCCTTCGGCTCAGGTCATGATCCTGGAGTCCTGGGATCGAGTCCCGCATCGGGCTCCCTGCTCAGCAGGGAGTCTGCTCCCCCTGACCCTCTTCCCTCTCGTGCTCTCTATCTCTCATTCTCTCTCTCTCAAATAAATAAATAAAATCTTAAAAAAAAAAAATACTGTAGTTTTATTAACAGCAAAAAGAAGGTATTAGGCAGCTGGTAAGGCACAGCTGGTAAAAGATGTATTAAAGATTGTTTTTAAGTGCATCATTTACAGTAGAATTCACAGGATATATCTGTTACATTCATCA